TAAAAAAATCACACACACACACACACACACACACACACACACATATATATATATATATATTACTTACGGGGCCATCCACCGGTAAGTGCCCGTCTCCGGCGTCATACCCTCAGTCTGCACCTCAATACGAGCCACCCCAAAATCCGCAATCTTGATCGACTTATCAGCAGCTATCAAGAGATTGTCCGACTTCAGATCCCTATGAATCAAATTCAAACCGTGCACGTATTCCATCCCCCGGGCAACATCCAAGGCCTGCTTCACCGCCAGCTTCAGTGGCACAGACCGATTCTGCCTTTTCGTCAGGAACTGTCGAACCGAACCTCCCTTAGCATACTCAGTAACAATGCACCAAACCATCGGTTTACGGCACGCACCAATAAACCGAACTATGTTCGGATGCCTCAGATTAGCCAGCATCATCACCTCCTGCTGAAACTGCTGCTCCATCAGCTGCGCCCGCTCGACATCATTCTCGGGCTTCTCCAGAAGCTTGATCGCAACATCCTCACCGTTGTAAGTGCCTCTGTACAGTTTCCCGAAAGCCCCCTGAGCAAAAGCGGGCCCCATGTTGAGCTTCCGCAAGTCGATTGTCCACTCGTCATAGTTTCCAAGGTCCCCTGTGGGGTAGCTCGGGTCCATCAGAGCACGAGCAAGAGCATCATTACTCAGCTGGGAGGCTCTCCCATTGTTACTGGCAGCCACTGAATAATCCCTGACCCGTTTCAGGCCCTGGTGCCCCAGAATGCGGGTGTTCGAGCCATTGGACCCTTCGCTACTATTGTCCATGGACATGGCAACAGATCCTCCACCGTTGCTCATCTGCAGGCTACCGTAACTGTCGACTGACATGTTCGAGCCCTCGTTGAGCTTGCGGTAGAAGTTCTGGGAGAAGTCATAGTTGTCGTGGTTGGTGTTCAAGTCTATGATCCCGGTGAACTTCGGGCCTTCCAACATTTTTATGTGTTTTTAGTCTTCTTCTCTTGATTAACAAAAAGAGAGCACAGAACCTAGGAAAGAATATGAATATTCTATATCTTGCGCATCCACATATCCAAGAAAAATCTCCCTCGACAGAATCTACAAACATATTTCATAAAGATAGTGTTAGCGAGAAACAAGATTTCTTCTATATGTTTTACCTTCGAAAAGTACTGCATCCATCAATGAAACTGTATCCAATTAACCCCTAAATATGAAATGTGTCGAGCATCAATCAGAATCTATCGTGAAAAAAGGGTTACGACCGAACAATAAATATCTGTGAATATGAATAAAGGGTTTACTGATATCACAAACACAAATGCAAGATCCCAAGCACTTAATAAGCCCGATACGGAATTCACACAAATAAACTGAAAGACCAATAAATAACGATGGAGCTCTTTGTAAATTCGTCTTGCCTCAAATTCACTTGCATCTCTTCAGTTGACCTTAATCTCACCATCAAAATTTTTCTTTACCCACAACAATCAGATTCACAAACCCAGCCTAAAACCACAAAAACTCTATACTTTTGCACTAGTGAGCACGCAAGCCCAGTCTCCCTAAAATAAAAGGGAAAAAAAATGGGGATGAAAACGGAGTTGAATTTCTCCCCCAAAAGCCCCTGAACACGCAAGCAATGAACATGTAAACCAACAAGTAATCAAATCATAAACACTCCGAATTACACTTGATCCGAGTACCAAATCGAGAAACAAACGGGTACACACCTCGATCGACAAGGCTAGACTTTACTATAAATAAAACCCGATCGAAGCCGGATGAGGCTCACTGGACTTACAGCTCCCTACTACTTCTCGGAGACCTTCAACTGTGGCGGAGCAAACGGCCAGAGGTGAAGGGATTACGACGGCTCTAGAGAGAGAAAGTCGCAGCAGGGGATTGGAAGAGATAGAGAGAGAAGGCGATGGAAGATGAAGAAATAAATGAAAAAGAAAAGAATAAAATAATTTGTCTTGGTCGCCTTTTAATTAACTATATAATAATAAAATATTTATACGTGAATATAATATTAAAATTTAATTTAATTAATGGACTTATCATATTTTTAAAATTTCATCATTAATAAAAATAAAATTGAATTATATAAATTATTTAAGTATATTGGAATCATTATATTGATTAATTGAAGTTTGTGATATTATAATTTTTATAATTATGAAGTATCATGATCAATTAATTTATTGAAGAAGTTATTATTATTATTATTATTATTATTATTATTATTATTATTATTATTATTATTACCATCATTATTATTAATTATTTGTTGTATCCAAATTTCTTAAAAATTCGATTCAGTCTGTAAAGACAAAGCCAGACAAGTAATTAGGTTTATACGAGTTCAAGCTTAAGCGTCTATTGATCCCTTGATCGGCATATAACAAGTATGTCGACCTTTCTCTGTATCTTTCCTCAGAAGATTGGCGATCTCTCTCACTTATAAAAGTTGAACCAGTAAAGCTGATAAAGCAAGCGTCCTAACTGTCTCATCCTCAAAAGATGAGTTTTGCATGGATACACTCGGTGCTACCCTCTGCCCATAGCTGGCACAAAACATTTATTGTATCTTTATCTTTGTTTTCGTGTATAATTACCACTTTGTCGATCCACATACATACATGGGCCTAGACATATATACATATACAAATACACACACAAAGAAATCAGAATAAACATCCCATACACCGTACTACTGTATTACACTCTTATACTTTCTTTCAATAAAAAATTCGGAGAACACGCTCTCCTTGTCGATCTCTTCAGTAGGTCGGCAAAATCGACGTCTTGTCTTTTTTCTCACTTATTTACTTTCTTATTTCGTGTAGACCTTTTCATTTCGTTAATCCTACCTTTAAATCCACCATAAATTATATAGTAACCTCTAGATAACTGCCTAATTCATTAATAACCGTTGACAATCGACCGTCAACAAAATGGCATTAGAGGAAGGGCAGTCGTCAAGGGATCCTCTACAAAAGGCCATCTCTAATTAATGGTTTCTCTGTCGGTGATCGCTTGAATCAAATGGTTTCTCTGTCAGTGATCGCTTCCAATGTCAATCCGGCATCAGGCCGGCTAAGTCATCTTGAATCTTTGCTTGCATTTCTCTCGAATTGCTCGTGTCCGAGATCGCCTCTTGTCCTGCCCGATCACTCGCCAATGCCTCACTCCCCGAGTCTATGTCGAAGTCACCACTATCTGACATACTGAAAGTACAGAAGCCAGAACGTAAATATTTGAAGTCCCAACAAAATCTTCTATTGATCAAGATGGCCTCAATTTTCCCAATCATTGCATCTCCTTGCATCAAGTCGTAAAGTCCAAGGGTCACGTTCATGTCCGAAAAGATACCTTCATCTGATGAGGCACTCCCATTCCTCATTTAATATTACTATTGAAAAAACGTCTTATCACGACCCGTCTCCCACCAGTGTGACTGATGTCGTCCTTTCAAATGAATTGCCGATTAAATGAAGAGACTGACCAAATGAAATAGCGATCAGAAACTGACCTGCGAATGCATAGCTGGCAAACAACTTTTTAATTGTATATGTCGATCTCTAATACCCCTAAAACTCGGGGGCCTTCTTGTTATACGTAAGAAATTACGTTTACTATGGCCCAACCCATTAAGTCATAATGGAAATCAGGCTTGTTGAAGATTGGGCCTAAACTATGAAATGGAACAGCCCAAGAAACCATGTTACCAAGGCCATGTCGATGCACATTCACGCCTGGATGTCGATCTCTCCCTGATCCGCATCTATGCCAGGATGCTGATTTATTTATATTCATTTAGCTCGAAGAATGATGATCCCTTTACATATGAATAAGAACTAACAAAACAAACTGATAAAGTGATCACCCAACAGGTTCCATCATTAAAAGTCGAGACTTTGCATGGGAACGTGTGTCACTTATCTACGCCCAGGTCATTGTAATATTTTACTTTTTCTGTGTATAAATTCGGTCTTTGAGACTCATGAAAACACATATCAACAATTCCGCAAAATATATATGAAATAATACTCTTTGTCGATCTCCGACACGGACCGATGGTCTCTCTCCTCTTGTGTAGTTCTCAGTTTTTTGTTTCATATCTTTACCACTAATTTGTAGGTGTATATAACATTTATTCTATATCGTTATAATCTTCATAAAACTCACGACTAAATCGTTCCACTATTCGTAATTAATTGAAGTTAACGCTCGAAAGTCAAAAACCATCACACATAGTGACTATTGCAGATAATTCCTTTTTTATTTTTTATCAAATAAATTGAAAAAATAAAAATCACTTTTGACATTAAAATAATTCATAGCCCTCTCTCTACATGTCCATTCACACATGCACAAAATATAACTTCCCAAAAAATGTTTTAATGATATTTTACATATAATTTACTCGTTAATAATGGCTTTAGATCAACATAGTCCAATAGACAAAATCAATCAATATTATTCTGTAGTTGAGTGTATCACCTATGAACTGGAAAATCAACCAATAACATCTTTAGAAAAAATCTCAAGTTCAAGAAGTCATTGGATAATAAGTCAATCAACATCATCCTTAAAGAAGTCACAAATTTGACTCACCCATATGTACAGTACCATATGAATATGAGACGCGTATTTTTTGTTACTAATCTCTCAAAGTAATGCTAGGAGCAAAAAGTAGGCCAAAGCCTTCATATTTCACGCACATTTGAAAATGAAGCAAAACAAGGGACCAAATCTTCTTAGGATATTTATATACGTTCAATTAGAAAAATGGAACAACATTCTCATTCAAAAAACCATGCGTTGGTTGTTGTTAAAATATAAATAAAATTAAAGTTAGGGCATAATAGTTTCGATCTCGTTAAGATAAAATTACATTAACGACAAGCACCTTCAAGATACAACGACTGTTGACTTGTATATAGCGCTACTTCAAATATACAAATATTCGGCGAACGATACTAATGTTTTTGAACTTCCAGGATTCAAATAAAAATAGATGAACACAATATGCAATATGAACTTCGAAAGTATATTGAATAATTCATGCATGAGGATATTTATAAATGTAGGAAAACACTTTCAGGAGACTTAAAGATTAAAAGATACTTTTCTAAATGTGCCATGATGCAAACGGGCGCATTGTGAAATCTAAAGATAACTTATAAGCTCTAGGGGACAGAATTCGTCGCAGGACGCGATGGCAACTGAAAAGTGTTCGCGGCCGTGAGCAAGCATCACATATCGTCGTTGGCCATAATGGAGTCAGGCACGCGCCACGCATCCATACGTGCGTGCCTGAGCTTCAAAAAGTGTCCGATTGAGTCCTACTCGTCCCAACAAACCTTGTTCAAGTTATGGACTGTACAATGCACGACTTTCACTCTTTTGGCTTGCTCGAGCATTCATCAGAGACCAAGCGTTTTTTACTTCAAACAATTTTTGAGTTACTTAAATTTAATTTTTTTTTTCTTCAAAATTATAATTTTTCACATTTACAACTTAGCTAGAATTAATTTCTCATTCATCCTAAAGTGATTTTTAAAAGTTTTTAAATCCTTCATTTACTAAAAATAAAAGCGTAAAATAGGTGAAAAATAAATAGAAAAAGAATCCTATCAAAATATCATAGTTAAAAACTATTATTGAGATAATGTAGTTAAAAACAAACCCTCTCTAGTTAATCAAAACCCAAAAAGAGATTTTGAGACAAATAACTTATTATCAATCAAAATATCAAATATTTTTGAAAAAAATCCAGTAATTCCTTGGAGGTAATAATATAATAATTGTCAGAAAAATATTTTGATGATAAAAAAAATGAGCAAAAAAGAAGATATGTGTGGTCCAATCGACTATTGAGTGTGTGTTAGTTANTAAAAAAAAAAAAATCCCTTGAGTGAGTCGAACTCGAGATTTTAGGTCCCAAGTGTGAATGTTGCTACCAACTATCTTACCCCTTCTTGTCTTAGTTAAGATAGTTTATATGTAAAAATATAAAGAAACTTATAAATAACAACTTTTATTTTAAAGTCTATATAAATATAATTACTAGTAAAGAACTCAATAAAATTATTTTCATCTCCCGTCTTTTTCCTTCATAATCCTATATTCTTTTCTTATGTTTTTTTTTAAACCTATGTATCGATCATAATCAATGACAACATGCCTTTTGCAACATAATTTCAACAATTTTTCAATTATGATTTTAAGTTATTTAAGCTAAACCATAGCATCATTACTAATTTAAGATACAAATTGCTATTACTAATAAGTTGCCCTAAACCAATTTTTATTTTTTTTACTTTTTAAATGTTTACCCTTAAAATTTCATACACAATTGCTATAATAATAATAATAATAATTTTAATATTGTTTTATCTAATTAATTGGTTATAATGAGCCAAGATTGCAGAAATTATATTATTGCAATCAATATAAATATTCATATGTAAGTTAAATAGTTAATATCTATATCGTTCATTTTTACTAATGATAAAATTTATAAAAATGTGATAATCTCATTATCTAATTTATGATTTTAAATATTACATACACGCATATAACCTATAATAAAACTTTACTTGCATATGTGCATGTTCACATAATTGAATATTGATTTTAATTAATTATTAAAAACTTATATTATTTTTGTTTAGAATGACACTCATCCAAATAAAAATCAATCGTATTATTTCATACTAATTTATGCAACCCATCCCATATAAGTGCTTTATATATAATTTAGTTATTTATATAATTAGAATTTCAATATAAGTTAATTTTAATTTATAAATGTAAATATAATTATTTATATTTTTTACATGCAATATAGATGTTTAAATGAAGATCGTAAAAAAATAATTATCTTGATATATAATATAAATTTTTTTTATAACAAATAAATAAAATAACTTCAAAATATATCTATTTATTTAAGTATTCAATTTTTTTTTTATGATTTTAAAAATGTTTATATGTACAGACAAAATTATGTAAAAATTGGCATGTAATTTATCTATTTATATATAATAAATACTTAAATAGTGAGTTTTATGAAGTTTTGAATCCAATTGGGCCAAATGTTCAAATTCTTACATTACAATCGGCTAAATTGCGACTAAAGAAGGCCCAAATTTGAAATACGGAACGACGTCGGCTGTTCAGATCGAGGGTTTTTTGCTGGTTTTGAACATTCTCAGTCACTCTGAGAGAGAGAGAGAGAGAGAGAGAGATCCATCGGAAAATTCAGGATGAAGCCGGTGGTCGGGATAGTGGTGTCGAACAAGATGCAGAAGTCAGTCGTGGTGGCCGTCGATCGCCTCTTCCATCACAAGCTCTACAACCGCTACGTCAAGCGCACCTCCAAATTCATGGCTCACGACGAGCAGAACCAGTGCAATATCGGTGATCGAGTTCGTACCTCTCCCTCTCTCTCTCTCTCTTACGAGTTACATAGAAAACGCTTGAGTATTTCTTTTGTAATCGTCTTGTAATGAAATGGCAGGTGAGGCTGGATCCTTCGCGGCCGCTCAGCAAGCACAAGTATTGGATTGTGGCGGAGATTCTTAAGAAGGCCAGGATATATGTGCCACCGTCTCTGGATAAGGGCGTTTCCAAGACTGACGAAGCTTCGAGCGGCTTGGCCTCGTGAGGTGATTATAAATGTTTTCCGCGTTCTTGTTGTTTCTTGTTTCCAATTTTAGTAGCCTGTTGTTTGGTATTTTTAATCTTGAGAAGAAGTTTGGTGGGCCGTTAATCTCTCGTCTTGGTTGTTAACATGTTTGTGAGCTAATACTTGCTTGTGAAAGGGCCTTTTTTGTCTGTAAAATGGTTGGTGATGGAACCTGAAGCATCCAATTTAGATTGTTGTTCCGTGATTGAATTGAAAATAAGAATATAGATAGACTTCTGAAACTTCTTAGGATAAAAGCTTAGATACTGGCAGGACGAAATTAGCTCATATTTGATCGAAGTTTGGGAGGATGCCTCAGTTAATTGCCTCGTTTGGTGGTTGAAATTTTCAAGATTTGTTTGTTGGATAAAAATGATAGAATTTTTGTTCCTGTTGATATATTTTTGGGCTTATGTTGATATATGTTCGATGGATTGTTGTGTATAAAATGATTAGTGAGTGGAACATGAACAGTCCAAATTTAGATTGTTGTTCCGTGATTGAATCGAAATGAATATAGATAAACTTATGAAACTTCTTAGGATAAAACTTAGATATTGTCAGAGGAATTTCGCCCACGTTCAATCGAAGTTTGTTTCTTTTGTGAAGAGCATTGGGAGGTGGATGCCTCAGTTAATTGCCTCTGTTGATGGGTGAAATTTGTAAACACTGTTTGTAAGATAGAAATGTTCGAATATTTGTTCCCGTTGATATGTTCGTGGGCTTATGCTGTTAAAAATTTCTATCTATACGTAGGATAGATTAAGAGCAGATGCCATACTTTGTTTTCCAATGGCTCAATACATTGTTGATGCTGACTTTCTTTTGAAAATTCACTTCACTTAATGTAATCTGGTTTTCTATCCAACATTGACCTCACACCCTCATACAAAACAACGAAGCAAACAAAACTATACCATGAAACGGGCAACCATGTAGAATATAGAGTATTAACTTATTGAGTTGCATTTACATGTACTTCTTCATTTATGAGAAGAAACAAGCTTCGGCTTTTGAATGCTAATCCAGTTCTGATGGATGCATTACTAAATAACCTATAAAGCCAGAAATGTCAGGATTACATTTCTTCTACAAGAAGATGCATGATATATAAGTACATATTATAATTCATATGAATTTCCTGGGCACTAATCAATTGTATATGTTGACAAATTATGTCAGAAAGTATCATTAGTGTTTAATTATGTTATTTTATCTGGTATGGTTTGGCTATTGTTATAACACTATCAGATGACAATTTTTATGTTTGGCACTTCAAGAACTAGAAGTTCAATATCTAAAAGCAGAAGAGGTTTTCTTGTAAGTTTTGTTTTTCAACAATCAAAAAGTTGGTTTCATAATGCTTCACCCTTCTGTTAGCTCTGTATTATTTCTTTTCTGAAGTGCTCTATGGTTACATAAATCATCTTTCAGGGGTATTCTTTATAGTTTATGCCCAATCATGGCTAAGTGGCATCATTTCTTAGAGGGTTTAATTTGAGGCGCATATTATCTTCGGAAGGGTTTAGGAGAGTTGTTTTACCATGTAGCTTGTTTATACAAGATGGCGGGTAGGCTCTAATATTATTTCTAATTTTCACAATTCTGAAATAAATAAACATTGTAATGTCTGCTAATGCTCTCTCCAGGTGAAGTTGAATGTGCAATTTGGCCAATTTCAATGCAAGACCATGGAAGACCACATTGTGTCCAGGGGAATAAAGGCAATTATCGTTTGATCTTTTTTTTTTTTCTTTTTTTCTTTTTTTTTTTTCCTTCCTCTTTTGGTAGTTTGCTGTCAATTACAAAGGTACCCTTGGCATATGTATTAGTAGTAAGCGGTTTCAAATTTAGGATTTGGTAGATATTGTTGGGATCGCGTACCTCACGGATATTGGCTTGTATTGTTTTTTGGTGGAAACTGACATTGTACTTGGTTCAAGTGAAATATTAATTTTTGTTGGTCTTAAAATAAATTATGTTTGGTAGAATATAATACTACAGAACAAAAAATAGAAGTTACAAAATGAAAAAATCCAAATCCTTAGATTTCTGAATACCATTCACTTTTTGTAAAACCATAATACGCCTTGCTCTTTGTCCAACCTAATCCAGGCAAACCATAGTGGAATACTAAACATCATACATAATCCACACACTGTAATATTAAGAACTCCAAATATATTTTTAGCTTTTCAATCCTAAAAATTCCATGGCTTCCTACTAATCTGCTCAACACTTCTAACAGCTTCCCAAACCACACTGTTACACTTGAGCCCAGAGCCCAGAGCCAGTTGCCACACCCTATCCCCACTCTTGATCCTCTTCTTAGCTTCCAAATAAGCCAGCTCATACCATACGCTGCTACTCGACGTGTTCCCGAATCTCTCCAGCGTCTTTCTAGAAGCTTCCATGCTCTCATCCGTCAGCTCCAGATTCTTCTGAACCTCATCCAACATTCTCTTGCTCGTCGCAAGAACGCAGACGTGCTCGAATGCCAGCTTGCAGGTGGGCCCGGGCCCGGGCCCGACGAGAGATCTTAGGCCCACAATGTGCGCCTTTAGGACACGCGTACTGACTTCTACAACATCCTTACTTATCGACAGTCCCTGTCTTCCCTGCGAGTCCTCTTTCAGTTGTACGCTTTTGAAGCTTCCGTCATCCATCCCTCTGTGAGTTCTTACAACCTGCAATTTCAAACTCTTTCGAAAAAAAAAAAAAAAATTTAAAAAATAAAAATTGCACGTACGGTACTGTATTACCTGCTTCAACCGGTACTTTGCCCGCCACCTGTCGAGTCGACAGCTGGACAGCAGCACTGCTGACGCACCCATCCTTAGGAAGCAGTTCGGGAGAACCATTTCCGGTTCGTTGCCGCCGTACCAGGCGGGCCCCACAGCCTCCGTGCTGACGACGAGCGCGTACGAGCCCAGGTAACCCTTCAGAAGGTCTCCGGCGAGGTCGATGGCGGCTAAGCTGGCGGCACAGCCCATGCCGCCGAGGTTGAAGCTCTGCGTGCCGCGGCCGAGCTTGTAGCGGTTGACGAGCATTGCGGAGAGGGAAGGGGTGGTGTTGAGGAGGCCGCAGTTTACGATGAGGATTTTCACGTCCCTTGGCCGGAGGCGGCGGCTGCCAGAGATGGAGGAGGAAAAGAGGGTGTCCACCGCGCCGTAGATGAGGAGGGCAGCCTCCTCACGGCTGTGGTCGAGGTCAGTTTTGTGGTTCGGGAGGAAAACCGAGCGAGGGAGGTATGTCTCGTTGCCGAGGCCGGAAGTGTCGAGGGCTTTTCGTTGGAGGTCTATGGATGAAGGGGTGAATTGGCCTGATTTCTTGGCTAGCTCTATGTATTCTTCTTTTGTTATCTAGAAGGAGAAAGAAAGGAAACTAGATTTATGAGTAAAAAGGAGAATGGTAGCAGATGTTTGGGAGATTGACCCCTCTAAGAGGGCTAACTTCAACTTGAAAATACTAATTAAAACAATGATTTGTGCTAATATAGAAGGAAAGTTCGGTTTTTTACTCGTGTAGGCAGTTTTTAACCGTTGGATCATACTTGCTCACGCAAACACCCATATGAGTGTGTGTTTATCTAACGATGAACTAACCCAAGCTGTTCGAATTCATCAAATAGAATATTTTCTCATAAGTAGTCTCTGTTTTAGTCTGGTTGCCAAAGAAGTCCAACTATCACTTAAATCTGAATAGCTAGATTAAGCTAGACATTAATGCTGGTTTCATAATATAGAATAGCCTACAATTGATGAAGTCAGGCACAAAACAACATGAATCAGACTAAGTAGTTGAAACTTAATTACATGTTAACTAAACATATGATTTATGTTCTCAGAAAGAAAGTTAAAGACTGCACACCTTAAGTTCATCTGGTGGCAGGTAGCAAGCGAAATCGACAAGATAAGTCGAACGAGGAACAAAATCAAGAACAACAAAAGTAGCCAGGGACAAGAAGCCTAATAGCAGAAGAATGTTCACTAGGCCGTGACATCCTAAGGAAAAGACATCCCAAGTTATCTTTCCAGCTTGTGTGCCGAGCATCATCATGAGAATCGAGCACACGAAATGCTTGCTGTGGCTAATGAGATAGCAGTAGCCGGATTTCACGTACTTCAAGCTCACGGAGCTTCGGAAATCAGGCAAGCCACGGTGGATACCCACCGAAGAGTCCTGTGAACTGGCATGCGGACCAGAGTTTCCGAGGCCTTGGTTCATGGTTTCTGGCGAAACACGTTCTTTTGTTGTTGGCATGAGTTTTGGTAGAAAATTAAAGAAATTGGATTTCAGATAGTTACAGGTATGAGTAGTGTGTTATGCATGAGAAGGGGATTGATTGGTGGAGTTAATAAAGAAATTGTGTAATTTGGGTTAGTTTGTTACTTGTAACAGAAAGAAAGGCAGGGGTTTATTGCATGAATTCCTTATAAAGAGATCTCTGCTTCTTTCTTTATTTTTTCTGTTCGTGTTGGTAATTTTTGTAGCTTGGATAAGTAATTCTGACTAGGTGGAAACGAGTCGAGCATGGACCTTGCCGAGTTCGAGCTCGATTTTTTTTTTCATTGCTCGAGCTCGAGGACGACGAGCCATGAAAATGACACTCGAGCTCGACTCGTGAGTCGTGAAACAAATGGAAATGCTCAAGATTGGTTCGATGCTCGAGATCGATTCAAGTTCGACTCGAATTTTAACAACTATAAATTATGCACATATGACAATTTTGTGAATCACATATGTATAAAGAGTATTTAAATACTTTATTCTACAAAGTTTCAAATTTAAGTTATTTTTAATAAGATTAGCATTGTATTTTATTTTGACTTCAACTAACTTTTGTTCTGATATAGAAAAAATATTATTTTTTTACACTTTATAGTTTACACTGTTATAATGAAAAATAATAAATATCTTCAGAAAAAATACTTTAATAAGAAAAATAATCCATATAAATTGTTTTTAAAACAAATATAATAAATTTTATTTTCGATTATTGATATTTTAATTTTAAAAAATATATAATTTAAATTTTATTAATAATATAATTGTCTAATTAAAAGGAATTATTTAAATACTATTTCGTTTAACAGCTATTCACCGAGAAAATGCGACTTTGTCATCACACTCCGATACAAAGGCATGTAACTGCATAAAGGGTCACCGGAGAGAAGCTATTTCACTGTGCCGTTAGTCGCCGCAGTCTTTCTAAAGTCACCTCACCCTCTCTCTGTATCTCATCGCCCCACCGGAAAACCTCCAATCCACAGCTGCTCGATTGGATTCCTTTTTATTTTTTACGAATTATCAGGCGAAGTTGAATCGAGACTGAATGTGGAGATCCGCATCGATGTTTGGTCCTCGCGTTCATCGTCTTCTCGCCTTAATATTGCTTTTCGTCCTGGTGAGTATTTGCCTTTTCCTTTTCCATTTATCGTTCATTTTCTACAATTTTGGATGTACTGAAAAGCAATAAGTCGTCTGGTTGTTTAATTATCCTGTATGATTCCATGAATTGACTGCTTGCAAGTGTAAGTAAACCCAATGCAATCTGAGTAAAATTGAAATTGAGAAATCGGTGGAGAAGCGTAAAGGTAGATGAATTATTGGGTTATATGAGTGGAATTATGGATGTTCTGTTGGATTGTTGATGTGATTCTTCCTGCCAGTTGTTAGGGGATAGGGCAAATGGGGCTTCATCTGGGTTTCATAATAGCAGAACACATCGTTTTCAATTTATCATTCATTTTCTTTGACTTACATATTTTTTTTTTCGCACTGACTGAATCCTGGAAAACAATTAGTGGCCTGGTGTTGTGTAATTCTGTATGATTCTATGAATTGACTGCTTGAGTGTAAGTGTAAGTTAACCCAATGCAATCCGAGTAAATTTGAATTTGAGAAATTGGTAGAGATCAATTATTGGGTGCTTATGAGTGGAATTATGGATGTCCTGTCGGATTATTGATGTGATTTTTCCTGCCAGTTGTTGGGGGATCGGGCAAATGGAAGCCGTAAGAGCCGGAAAGCATCATCCGTATTTTCTTTGTTTAACCTCAAGGAGAAAAGTCGGTTCTGGAGTGAGTCAGTTATGCGAAGTGGTATGATTTTTGTACTTCTTTTTCTATAAAAGATGAGCAATTCGTACAGTATCGACTCTTTGTTTTGTCCTTCATATCACTTGTGGCAATGTCATCTATAATTATTTTATTTGCTTGTGTAATTGGTGTTGATGGTGACTACAGGCTTTGATGATTTGGAATCGTCTAAACCGGACAAACACGATGCCATCAACTACACAAAGGCAGGTACTTATTCTGTATGGCAGTTCGTCTCTTCTGAATAGAAGTATTCATCCCATCTGGAATAGATGTAAATGGTCACTGTAACTTTCTCTCTGTCTGTTTAATGGATTGAGGTCTTTCGATAGGTGGCTGTTATGTTCGCTACAGGATGACACATTTTTAAAAAAACATTATCGTCTTATGGGCCCCATCTCTCTCTCTCTCTCTCTCTCTCTCTCTCTTTGTTATACTTGATAACTATTGTTCAGTCTTATTAGCATTATATAATTGTAGTTCCCTATGTAGGGATTTGGGTGCTCAAGTTTTTGTTCTAGTTTGCCATTTTTTATTTTTCAAGATGCATACATTATATGGTTAGTCTTATAAAATAAAATCGTATTTCCCTTGGATCTCAGGAAATATTGCAAGTTATTTGAAGCTTTTGGAAGTTGAGTCTATGTACCTTCCAGTGCCTGTAAACTTTATTTTCATTGGTTTTGAAGGGAATGGGAACAGAGGTATATTGACATTCTACTCGATGATTTGTTCGGGTTCACTTGAAAAAACCTTGCCATTTTAACCTTTTAGACCCTCTGTCTCTTGTTACTATCATTCATTTTTCTTCAGAATTTAAGCTAAATGCTGAAGAAATAGAGCGTTGGTTCACAAAGATTGATCACATATTTGAACATACGAGAACTCCAAAAATTGGTGAAAGTCTTACACCATTCTACAAGACTAGCGTTGATCGAGAAGAACGTCACCATCTCCCAGTGATCAGTCACATAAATTACAAGTAATCTGCTCTAGTTAATTCCTACTTCATTTTTGCTTGTATTTCTGATTTAAGAAATTATATCCTCCAACTTCCTTGTGTAACTTAGTCTTGCTATTTTATTATTATTGTCATTAGTTGTTTAGTCATTTTTCCCACATAAATATACTTGTAGCTTTTCTGTTCATGCCGTCCAAATGGGCGAAAAAGTCACATCCATATTTGAGCGTGCTATTGATGTCTTTGGCCGCTGGGATGATGTATCCCACTCCAGGTATTTTGGTGTTTCAGGAATTAGGTGTTGAGTTTTTTTTTTTTTTAGTCTCTGTTACTCATTGGTATGATTTCATCTGTTTCTCGTCAAAGGGATGATGGAGTAGCTCTCTGGCAAGTTGATGTTGATATGATGGGTGTTCTCTTCACCAGCCTTGTGGAGTACCTACAATTGGAAGATGCTTATAATATCTTTATTTTGAACCCAAAGAATGGAACAAAAAGAGCCAAATATGGCTATCGGTAAGTACTTCAGGTTGCGTTGCATGCTTATTTGATTTGGAGATGAAAGTTTGAAATGACTTGTATTTCTGTTATATTTGAGCATTGATAAGAAAATTTTTTGTTTAAGAGATCTCAAACCTCCTTATTATGCCTAAACTCAAAGTTCTACCTACTAAAATCTGACATGTGGAATATAATGTATCCCTTTTAACGAGGGTCGTTTAAGAAATAAGGTGCTGATACTTCTGTTTGTTAATTTGATTTCATTATCAAACTCCACTCTTTTCCTGCAAAATGTCTTACATCCTTCTCTTTCAACTAAATTATACAACAACAATGGTATTGATTTCTAAACTGAAAAAGACTTTCTTTGATTAAAATATAATGGAATTTCGCTCTGTTTTCTGAACACACAAATGTAAATGATTTAGTCGATAGAATGTGAGATATTGAAAGGGTATGAGAACGCACAATGAATTCTATTTATGCTAGGTAACGAAAGAGAAAGGACCTCTAATTTTCTTTTGTGGTAGATATCATGCTGTTTGCTTTTAGCCTAAATTTTGTTTGGATTGCATTACTTCTTTTCATCTATGTTGTCTAATATTCATACTGCCCGAAAGATATCTATGTTTCTTGCTTACTCTGGATGTGAGTGTTAACTTTGGTGTCCTATGGCAGGAGAGGCTTATCGGAGACCGAGATAAACTTTCTCAAGGAGGTAGATTTTATGCTTGTGCCTCTTGCATTCCCTTTTCTTTAGAGAACTTCATTACACATGCTAGGATTTCCAATTCAGTATTATATTATACTTTTTAAACTTGAAGTTCTTCTCC